TATGTCTTATACATAAAATAATCACAATGATTATATATTTTCTCCTTCCATCAACTCATACATACACTTTTATAATAATACATGTATTTATGCATTAATACATATATGTGTATTAATACAAAAGTATATTTATTGTGAGTAGATGTAAGAAGAAAAATTTTACATTATGCATACATCTTAAATATTTTCATTAACCCAAAACATAGAAATATACATTCCTTCCCTAAGATTTTTACATAGTCAATGTCTTTTCATTGAGATTGTTTATTTTTCAGGGTTCTTCCTTACCCTGTCTTTCATACAAAAAGCACACCCTGAATGCATTGTCTACAATTTCTAATTTCAGTTTCTGCACAGTGGAGTGAGAGCTTAAAGATATTTGCAAGGAAATTTTAGTACAGAAACCTTTTGGATGTAATACTTTTCCCACAATCTTTTCAGCTGTCTTGCTTGTACCGAATCCAATAATCTAATTTTAGCATCTCTCCTTTATTAAATCTTTGTATAACTGTCAACTTGTTTCTTGTAAAAATGATAACTCTTTTGCATTCACATTTCACCAGCTTATGTGACAGTGTTAAAGTACAGCTAATATAAGATTCTTGGGAACAAACACATCTCCTTGTAGGCAACATTCATGTCAGCAGGTAGCCACCATCATCTGCGGCTTCCTGGAAGGCGTGGGCATCCTTCCGGCCTAAGCATTCAGTGAGCCCAGGGTCATGTAACCTGCTGAGTCAGTACCTAGCAGCAGCACTCAAAATCCTCATGTGCTGTGAGTTGATGAGTGGGTAACTAGCCTGTCAGGATATACCCACTTCTCTGATTTTACTGTTATTCTATGATTAAAATATTTAGGAATTTGAGTGGGCACGGGCTGGGGGACATGGAGGACGACACCCTTCCTTTTTGAATACATTGTGTAGCATTTTGTTAATGTGGCAGTTCGTGATGAGTGGCATGGCTTGGGGAGGGCAGACCACATTCTACAATCCTGTCCTGGGGCCAGCAAGGCAGTGCTGGGACAGGAGGGTGACCCAGATTCATATCGCCTACTCACTGCTAGATGACTACGGGCGTGTCATCTCAACTCAGCACTTCTGTTCTCGTCTTCAAAATGGGGTGATGCAATCTGATTCACCACAATGTTTTGAGACTCAAATGAAATAAATTTTTAAAGTATTTGCCACAATGACGGGCCATTAGAGTTACTTCCATATCTACACACCCTGTGTACACTTGTAGCAATGGGATGGGGTGAGGGACCCCATCTCTATGACAAGCAGCAAGGTTCCTGGGAAAGTCTACTCCTTGGAGGTGGGCAACGGAGATCCGGGTACTGCTTTCACTAGCAGCCCACCCCACATCCTTGGGCATGTCACTTATTCTCACTGACCTTCAGTTGTGTTACCCAGGAATAATAGCAGGAAAATTCCATCTAGCTTGAGCCATTATGGTGAGGATTAAATAGAGGTTATGGGGACTGAAGGTGTCTGGAACAGAGGAGAGGCGGAATACATTTTATCCTTGTAGGTATGACTCAGTCTGCAAACTAAGATCTGAAAAGGAATAATGCCCCCTAATTTCTATGACTCAGCTTACTTCTGACTCTAAGCTCCCATTTTTCTCGGTTGATAAAGAATTGAAGCCCCACCCCTTTCTGGGGAGCCCGCTGACCTGGCATTGTGGACCATGACTTCACATTATGAAGCAGGGCGGGGATTCGCCCTTATCTTCCAACTGCACAGCGTAAGGCCAGATGTGCTTTGCCTTATCTTCCTCTCCCGTGTCTCTCTTGCTCCCAGGACATGTTCAAAGCACAAAATTACCTCCACAGGTTGAAGTACAGAGCCAGGAAACAACTGAGTGCAAGAAAGTAGGGAGGAGTAGAGCTTATGAACCAGAGATGCCCATCTAAAGGCCTTTCTTTTTTTTTTTTTTTTTAAGTTTAATACTGTAAGGACCAAACAAAACATGCCTATGGGCTGACTGGGTACATGGGCCTCTTCACTGCTCTGTGAATGTGCAGGGCCTGCTCTCACTTCAGGGCCACTGCTGGGAGTCCCCATCCCAGGATCCCATCTGTGACCCCCTGAGAGCTCCGGGGGAGGGTCCCTCAGTGAGGTCTTTCCTTTTCCCTTCCTACACTCCCCACCCCCTTTCCTGTTTCATTCTTCTCTACGGCTCTTAGCGCTGTGGTTTCCTTTTTTACCCTGGTTAATGTCTATCTCTATCCACTAAAATGCAAGCCCCAAGTAAGCACTCAAGGACTATGTGTTGAATGAATGGGTGGATGGATGGATGATTTCATCATGGAATGAGGCCCTCACCTCGGGCAGATGGGCTTCAAAAATCTCAGTAATCAAAATCAATAATATTTTAATGCAATATTTTTTTTAATCACAGTGCAAAAAATCTGCGAACTATCAAATTTTTAAATAAAGGCATATTCAAAAGAAGTTGCAAGTGAGCTAATTTAAAATTATTTAAAATCATCATTTTTTCAAGAAAAAATTCTCAAACATGGCAATGTTCTCAATTGAAAACAAGTTAAGACAAGAAGTAGACTTTGAAATTTGTACTAATGAGTGTTCTTACATCAAAGCTGGGAAAAATAACATTCTAGTAAATTCTGGGGCTTTTTTGTTTGGTATAACAAAATATTTAAACTTAATATAAAGTTTTAATGCACCTACTTTTCAATTTTCCAACTTTTTTGATGCTACCTTAATGTTCTGGAGAAAAATTAACCAATTAAAATACACCAAGGCCAGATGTATGGCTCACACCTGTAATCCGAGGCAATTTGGGAGGCTGAGGCAGAAGTATCTCTTGGGCCCAGGAGTTCAAGACCAGCCTGGGCAACATAACAAGAACCTGTTTTTATATTTTTTTAAGTAAAAAAAAAAAAAAAGAAGAAAAGAAATTTTAAAAAGGGAAATGCATCAAGACCTATACCATAGAGGCTGACATTTTCCTTTTGCTCCAGGCTGCATAAGGGTTGCCAGGGCAATGGTTCTCAGCAGATGCATGCTGATGAAGCCGAATCGTGAGCCATCCCTCCGAGCAGAACCCTGTCATGTTCACAGCCTGACTTGCTTTCATCTATAGGAGTGAGAGGTGAGGGATTTCTGGAGGCTGCTCAGGGAGACTGCCCCAATTGGGATGCTTTTCAGTCATCCCCAAATCAAGCCATGTGGGCCTATTCCAATGAGGATTAAGTTTTCCTTTGCATGGAAAGATCTTGCAAAAGAAAAGGAACTGTTGAGACCATGAAGAGGAAAGGCCTGGGGAGAGAGGAAGGACTCAGTACCTTATTCTCCAGGCATTAGACGTCAACACAGGCAGCGTGGGCAATCCACACGTTTGTTCAGGTTGATTTCACTTCTGCCATTGTCCGCCACTCCCACTCTGACCCAGAGGTGCCCACCAAACGGCCAGCGTCACAAGCCCTCACCAGGTGCTGGATTGCAGCTGGGCTCCCGCCGATAGCCCAGAAGCCAGCGCCATCTTCCTCAGGGGAAGCCTGCGTCTGACCCCACACTAGGGTGGTGTTGGGAGACAACCTTGTGTTGTGGAAAACACTGGAGTGGAGACCAGGGTCTTGGGCTTCCTGCCATGAACTACCTACAAGACCTTGATCCAATTACCTTCTCTCAGCCTGTTTTCTTGTCTGTCGGATGAGGCCCCTGAGGACCTGTGCAGAGTTAAGAGTCTAGAAGGCAGAGTTCAGCTTAATATTTGACGTCTTTGCTACGTCCTCAACGTAAGTGGTTAAAAGCAAATGACCTCTTTAGAGAATACCTAAATTAAAGATAGACTCTTTCCTGGTGCAAACATAAAACAAAGACGAGACTTTCAGAGGGCTCCCAACTAGATTGACTGCACACATTTATCTTCTGACATTACAGCTTGGTGGTTAAGAGGATCCTGGGGCCACACTGCCTGGGGTTGAATCCTGGCTCTGCCACTTAAGACCAACTGGAGGCACCTCTCTGTCCATTTCTTCATTGGCAAAACAAAGAACTGAGGGAACAGTGGTAAGGTGGCTTCCCCTAGGCCCTGAATACAAGAGACATGGGAAAGAAAACAGCTACCCCTTGAGAGGCTGTGGGAGGCAGCGCCCAGGGGAAAGCTGGGTTTGGATTAGAACCATGAGGTGAAGGAAGCATCACAGGAGAGGACATCAGGGATGTGGCTGCTGAAGGATGAAGGCAGAAAGCAGGGCATACAGAGCTACATGGGTCAGAAGTCTCCATGGGAGTCCTGGGCTTCCTATGGGACCTGGGATAACAAGATTAGTCTAAGACTGGATAGGAAGCCATGCCGCCTGGAGGTGGGGGAGCTGGGGAGATGTGGGTCTTCCCAGAAACACTCGGGGCTCCTTTCCCACTCTTGCTGAGGCCTGTGGGAGCTCAGAGGCAGGCTGTTCCAGAGAGGACACATGTAGCCCGAGGGCTTCTTGACAAGCCCATCTTGGAGTGAAGAAATATTGAATTCTTCCTTCAGGCTGGACACTCTCAGGTAACAGGAATTCCAGGGGCAGTGCAGGCACAGGCTAAGGTGTCTGTGTACTGACTCAGGTTTACACAGCTGTTACCTCTTCAGGAATGGCTGCCACTCATTTGTTATGACGACGGTTTCCAGCTATTGTCTGCTGTTGACCTCCCAAGATGACAGCTAAACAGTGCAACAAAGCAGGCTAAGTCATGGCAGGGAGAGAAGGCTCCCTGCCCCGCCTGTTATACAGCTGCCTCACATGGTGGGGATCTGGTTTTTTCAAAAGCAGCGGAAGTAAAGACCCATGTGTTCACCTGCCTATTACCTACGATGTGGAACCCAGCCAGGGACAGTACGTGGTTCATCAGCTCCCTCACTCCATGACCGATCCTACAATGAATTGTTTTTCCTAAAGCAAAGGAGAAACAGAGTATAGATTCTAAAAGAGTATGTGACTCTTATTTTCTGTCTTAGGAAAACAATAGCAAAACCACCTAGGTACTTGTGTACATATTTACATTTATTTACAAAAGTTTTTATGTTACCGGTAAAAACCATCTTTTGATAAAAAAGCAAGCACCAAGTCATATAATACACTGATAAGAGTCACACTAATGCTTCTTCTTTGTTAGTGGGTATTTCTTCTTAAAAAACAGCTGCTTCAAGAGTTGTAATACTCAAAAAATCCGATGGCTTTTAGCTTTTAAAATAATTTAGTTATTATGCCATTGCCTTCATCTTCTGTTACCAATCAACTGGAGCTACAAAAAAAAAAAAAAAATTCATATTATAAAATGCAGTAAATCTGGGCTGCAGACCAGGAGTCCTAGTTACCCTCCTATTCTAATGTGAATAGCCTTTTTGAAATAAAGTCATCGGCCGGGCGTGGTGGCTCAAGCCTGTAATCCCAGCACTTTGGGAGGCCGAGGCGGTCACGAGGTCAAGAGATCAAGACCATCCTGGTCAACATGGTGAAACCCCGTCTCTACTAAAAATACAAAAAATTAGCTGGGCATGGTGGCGCGTGCCTGTAATCCCAGCTACTCAGGAGGCTGAGGCAGGAGAATTGCCTGAACCCAGGAGGCGGAGGTTGCGGTGAGCCGAGATCGCGCCATTGCACTCCAGCCTGGGTAACAAGAGCGAAACTCCATCTAAAAAAAAAAAAAAAAAAGAAATAAAGTCATCAAAGCCAAGGGAGCTAGGGAGCAGGGATGGAGGGAGAGGGGCCTTGGGCACTCACAGGATGTAGCCTGAGTCCCCCCTGAAGAACAGCCTTGAGGATGCTGCACTCAATAGCAGCCCCAAGCCTCCTCCCACCGACTCTTTGAGTAGAACCGAAACACCAAACAACGGGGCGGAGACTGTTAGACCCATAGGGAAACTGTCACCTATTCCTAACAGCCACTTCCTTCTTTGCTACATGAAACTCCTGGGGACAGTTTCCTTCCCACCTCAAACTTCTCTTCCTGTGTAGTCATCTCTGTGGCAGTGACAGAACAATCTCTGGCTGTCTCAGAGTAAATCAGCAAAAAAACAAAACCACACCCTTGCTTGAGCAAGTCCTCAAACCGAGTCCATTTCCTGCCCTCCCACCCTCCCGCTAGTCTGCGTATTTCCACGGAGTTCAAAGTCAGACCAGCCCAGAGCTCCCCACACATTCCATCTCATTGGTAGCAAGAATTCATGAGAAATTAGGGCTGTGGTTACAGGGGTGAGGGAAAGGAGAGTAAACTGAACGTTTCCCTCCTTGGGAGCCTCACAGAACATGAAATGGGTGCTGTGGATTTCTGAGGGAGACAAAGTGAGAAATATTTTTAAACCAGGTTGGCACACACAGGACCCTTGTAGGGGCAGCTTTCTGCTGGTCTCTGCTCCTCCGCCCTCTCCCAGCGGTCTCCTCACTCACTACAAGGAATCAAGCCCACTTCTCCAGCTTGGCCCCTGCCTGAGATCCCACCTGTAAATCTTTCTTCTCAGAGAAATAGGACTCCCTGCTTCTTTTTTAATTTGGCTGACTTTGTGATCTGTTTTCTAGATACTTACACAAAACAATACCAAAGCACTCAGAAATTGCCTAAATTGAACTGCCTGGGTGAGAAGTGTGGCGTGGTCATTGCCCGTCAGATGTCTGCCATCTACTCATCTGTCCTCTGCTGTTCCTGATTGGGTTTAGTTCTTCCCGGTTCTGCTCTCCTGCAGCTGGGGAAATACTGCATTTGTTCCTGGTTTTGCCTGCCCCTTTCGCATCTCCTTCCCCGATCCCCTCCGTCTCCACCATACACAGAACCTTTTCCATTTTAATTTAATTTTTTTGATGCCCAGGCTGGTCTCTAACTTCTGGGCTCAAGAAATCCTCCCACGAACTCCTGGGCTCAAGGGATCCTCCCCCCTCAGCCTCCCAAGTAGTTGAGACTACAGGTGTGTGCCACCACACCAGCGTCATAACCCTTCAGTAACAGCTTGGGCTATTCCCCTTGCTGCCACAATGGGTTCTTTAAATCTAAAAATGATTATTTAATAGGCAGTAAACACACATGATGCAGGATTTGAATAGTAAAATATACCAAGAAAAGTAAGCTCCTCTCCCAATCTCAGCCCCAAATATTCAGGTCTCTTCCCAGAATGTTACCTTAGGGAGAAGGTCAGTGCTACCTTCCTAGACTCATCATTCCAAAGCACTGCTTTTCATGCAAAACGTTCCTGTTCAAGAACCTACAATGGCTGCCGTTTCCATATCACTCCATTTTAATGACCCTGACTTCCAAGGACCTTCTTGCAAATATTCAGTGTATTTTGCCTCTACTTCAACTGCCAGGCAGATCAATCTCACTATCAAATAAATCACAACAGATTTAATTCCCTCTCATATATCTGCCTCTGCTGTTTCTCCCACCTGGAATCCCTTTTCTACTCTACTCTTGTTCTGAAAATGTGGGTCACATCCTATCCCCTCCAAAGCTTCTCTGATGATTCTGGCCTCTTCAATCGCCCTGCACTGGTTGCTCAGCCCTGACCATCGTATCACACATTCTGCCTATCAACTGTACTTCTAAGTCCTTCGAAGAGTTTCTCATGCTCACGTGCATCCACTCTCACTCCCTGGTGTGGCCACAAGCTTCCTATGGGAGGAGCCCTATTATATGCTTTCTCTGAATCCCACACAATGTCTAGCCTCACTATGTACTCTGACCCCACATCATCAGCCAGCACAGTGCCTGGCATCACATAATCTCCATAATGTTTGTTTGATGAAAGGAACAGATGAAGGAGTGAGTTCTGGATTGCCCATTCCTTTCCCCATGGCCCGGGATGATGCCCCCCCGATCCCCATCATTGGTGGTGACGACGCCTCCCCCATCCACTCAGGATTCCCCTCTACTATAACCACCTAGATCTCAGCAGAGACCCAAATTGGCTCTTGCCCTCACCTGGTATTCAAGCATATTGCTCAGATCTGAAATGCCCCCCTCTGACCACAAGCCTGGAGGTCCCTACATCTCCCACCTCACCTCATCTCCAGCTACTTGGCTCCTCTCTGCCCGGCCTCCTGGACCATCAACTCCTCATGGCTTTGGGTCCTCCGGGCTTGGGCCTGTGGCCAGCTGAGCTGCCCCTTAGACTCCCTTGACCCCAGGCCTCCTGCCATAGCTGGTTTCCCCCAGTAACCTAAGCACTGTTCCACATGGGAGCTAAGGAGAAAGGACACCTCGTAGCCCACCCATCGGTCCCACCTCACCTAGGCCCTTGCTGCTGCTTAGCCATCCTCTCTTCATCCCTGCACTGACCACAGCAACTGAGTCAACAAAACCAAAGTCCTAACCTCTCACCCACCTCCTCATCTCTGCAGCTTTAACATGTAGCCTCCTCCCTCAAAGCCTCTAATCCGGGGCGCCCCTGGCTCTGATCCTGGACTTTGCTTCCCCAGTCCTGCCTCCTCTGCCTCTTCCCACCACCCTAGGGCATCTGGCTTTTCTTTCTTGGTGACCTTAGGTGCTCATGGCATCAATTAGTGTCCAGATGAAGAGGCTCCCCAATCTGTAACTCTAGCCTGCAGCCCCCATCTCCAGTTCTGTGCATGGACATCACTACCCAAGTAATACACCAGCACCCTAAACTCAACCTGTCAAAGGAAAAATTTGTAATTTTCCTTCCCCAGCAAGATTCCTGTGTGACCCCTCTGCTACACTTGGTCCTGTCGCTTTGATTTCTCTTGAGTGGTAATAGTAACAATAATCATAATGGCTAACATTTATTGAACACTATTATAAGCCAGCCACTATTGTAGGCATTTTACTTGTATTAATATATTTTGACCCAGTTATTTCTATGTTATTATCTATGCTATCATTGCTATTTCTATATTATCATTATGCCCACTTCCCAAAGAAGACAACCAAGGCAATGAGAGTTTAAGTGATTTGTCCAAGGACTGCGAGAAACGGAGCTGGCATTTGAACCAGGGAGCTTGGCACCAGAGCCTGCATTGCCAGAGGAAAGTTTTGCTAACAGGACCTCTGCTGTTTCTCTCAAACCCAGCCCTGTGTATTACGTTCTGCCACCATCACCCCGACTCATGTGCTCTTCTCTGCTTGGCTGAATTATTTCATTACTCCACTAACCAGTGTCCTCATCTCATCTATTAATTCATCCTATGCTTTGCCAGCAGAGTGATCTTGCTAAAGCATAGTTCTGCTAGAAAACTCTGCAGTTCTCCCCAAGAATGACCCACAGCCTCTCTCAATGTCTGAGCTTGGCCCAACCTGACAGCCCAGCCCCATCTTTCTCTAAACCCTTAACACTTGCTGCTCCAAAGAGGATGGCTTGCCACTTCTTCTCCTGCCCTTCACACCCTGGCCCTCAACTCTTCCCCCATCCCTCAACACTCAGCTCGTTCCTTTGCCTGCTGACCACCAGTGGGACCTGCCAGAAGGGGACCTCCTGGAGCATCCTATGTCAGTCTACCAAACCAACATCGCTGCTAAGTGTGTTTGTGTCCTCTTTTATTTGTGACTACAGGCCCAGCTCTGACCCTGGCTCCTAAAGTGAACCCAATATCTGATCCAACTTTTCCTGGGATGGGAGGTGGAGGGAGTGTACTATAGTGGTTAACGGTATAACTCTCGGAGTCCAAAGACCTAGATTTAAATCCCAGCCCACCACTTACTAGCAATGTGACCTTGATAAATCATTTAACTTCTACGAGTCTCGTATGCACTGTCTCTAAGCAAGCGGTATGATACTCTTGCAAGGCTCATTGAGAGCGTTCCAGGAGACGATATATAGAGAGTGGCTAGCGCGGTGCAGGGCACACAGTTGGTACTTAATACACTATGGTCAGTATATCTGCTGATGTTACTTCTTATTACTTCTTATTACTGTACAAGGCAACCAACACATGAGTAGCATCTGGCTTCCCAAGGAAGGCGCATCTACAGCAGGGCTGCTCTTGTTCTGACACACAGTGCACAACCTGCAGGGTACTTACTTGTTTCTGTCTGTCTTTCTGTTACATTTCAGAATACCTGAAAATGAAGAAATTGTCCTCTCAGTTGAAGAACTGAAAAGAAAAGCTGAAATGTGGGGTTACTGACTGCCTATTAGAGGCCTAAATATGGAAAACTAACCCAGAGCCCCAACAGCCTGGGATTTCCTGCTATCCTATATGTTTAAATCAAATTGGCTACAGAGCTGGTCCAAAGAGTTGTTCAAAAATCGGTCAGAACATGATAGAAAACCACATGCAAACACTGTTGACAAAATGGCTAATTTTGCCTTGTGCATAAGGCTGAAGATGCATGGAAGGCTAGAATGGTTTGGACTAGTGCTGTCCAGTAGAAATATAATGCAAGCCACATCAGCAATTTAAAATTTTTGGTAACCACATTACAAAGTTTAAAAAAAAGGTACATTCTAATATTTTATTTAACATAATGTGTCAAAAATATAAAATTATTTCAACATGTACTCAGTATAAACATCTTCTAATGAGATATTTTATATTCTCCCACACATGGTCTTAGAAATGTACTGCTTTACACTCACAGCACATCATAATTTGGACTCCCACATTTCAAGTGCCCCACAGCCACATGTAGCTCATGGCTACTCTTTTAGATATTAGGACAGTGCTCCCACACAGGCATGCATCGGTTTCCTGCCCACAGGGCGTCCGCCTATCCCACACCTAAGCTAGGGGTCCAGAAGCCTAGTCAATAGAGTTGACTAGAGCTTCTAAAACGGTCTATCATCTACAGCTAGGCAGCTGGAGCTGTTTCAACTCTTTTTTCTGAAGGTTCCATGCCAAACATCTCACTATTTCCAAAATAAAGACTTTAAGGTTGCTTAAAGGTTGAGATACTTGCTGAGAAGTTTTGTTTTTGTGTTTTGAAACAGGGTCTGACTTCATCACCCAGGCTGGAGTGCAGTGGCACCATCTCAGCTCATTGCAGCCTCCACCTCCCTCCCGCCTTAGCCTCCTGAGTAGCTGGGACTACAGGCGTGCACCACCAGGCCTGGCTAAATTTTGTATTTTTTTTTGTAAAGATGGGTTTCACCATGTTGTCCAGGCTGGTCTCAAACTCCCAGGCTCAAGTGATGCATCCACCTAAATCTCTCAATATGCTGGGATAACAGGCATGAGCCACCATGCCAGGCCTCCAAATTGCTTTCTTAGAACAAATTTTTTTTTTTTTTTT